CTGCTGAAGCTCTGATATGGTGTGTCAAAGAAGGCCCTGACATCCCAGAGTGCATTTTATCTTGTTTTTTTACACAAAAAATATTTTTTACTTTTGCAAAGACTGGCATATATATGCTAAGTGAAAAGAACCCACGGATTTCTAAGTGGAGAGGTAGTATAAGGACATATAGCCTGTAAAACTTCTGCTGTAATTTGACACTGCTGAGTATCTCTATTGAATCAGTTCGAGTTGTTCACAAAGAGATTCACTGCAGCCAGACACATGGATTTTGATCACTCCCTGCTAAAGTTCCTTCTGTAGTTGTAGCTTGCCTCTTAATAGCCATCTTCCATCTGCGCACAGAGCTGCGGTTTCCACTAAATGCTGACTAAGAACGTTACAGATAGCGTGGAACCCCTGCCCACACTGGGTGTGAAGCCCTGCTTTAACGTGCCATCGAAAAAGGCTTGCATGAGCAGGCCCTGTGGCTCTGTCACAAGAGCTGTGAAAATTCATAAATTGAAATTTTGCGATTTGCCTGCATACCTTATGTCTAAACCACAGATAAGACCCTTAAGCTACCGTTTCCTCTTGCCCGTACGTAGGAAATGACCAAGTGATAAACTAATGACTAAGCAAAGCATATACATGTAGTTATTTTTGCACATATAAGGTTGACTTCTAGGGCCACTGACAAGCACAGAAGACAGTGGTTTAATTTTACTAGGTCTATTCTGCATGTTGTAGCAACAGCAATAGCAGTTTTTTGCTTATTTAAGGCATGTTTTCAATGTGTTCATCCGTCTACATAATAGACAGAAAATAGAGCGCCTGCTATGTATATCTATTTATGGCTGAAGTAACTAAATGCTCCATGTGCTAGATAGATTATACTAGGAGACCAGAAGGCTGACTTGTCACAATGCAGTGCATTTAAAAAATAGCTCCAGACAACATTACTGACACCATTGGTCTGAAGCCGTATGATTGTACAGAGCCTCAGCGAAGACAGAAGCTGGCGCGTATGGAATAGTTTGAAGGCTCAGAGCCATAGTGCTACTCTAAACTGATGTGTTAGTGTTAGCAGGTTGTAAGGAAGAAGTTGCTCTGCCTTACATGAGAGATGCTGTAGTCTCTGGCCACTGCTTTCTCTTTTGCTTAAATAAAAGGAAAAGTTTTAGTGTTTGTCTTCCTTTGAAAGTACACATGCAATGTCTGTCCTTGGTATAATCATCAAAATAAACCTCCTATACTCCATGTTTTCCCAAATTTTTTGCAGCATTTGTAGAACATTTTAAAGCCTACTTACATTTCCTCTGTGCATCCAGACAAAGGCAACGTATCAATGGAGATTATGCCACATTCTTGCACCATGCAGGCTCAGTAAAGAGATGCTGACTGTGCCCTGTTCACATACGGTCTGTATGCAAAAAGGTTCTTGAATATGACTACAGATGAATTTTGTAAAATCTAGCTACACAGTTTTGTCAAATCAGAACTTATACCCATTAGCTGTGTTTATGCCTTACTGTTATCTAACAACCAACCACAGGCTGGTCTTAGATATAATAAAAATTAGGCCAAATGTTCTGCTGCTGCGTTCTCAGAAGCAGTTGTGGTAGCCTGGAAACATACTTGTCTGTGGTAAACCTATGGCTAACAGCTGAGCAACAGCAAGCTACAAGCAAAATGAAAGCTTGCGTGGAAGCTGTTTTATGACTTTTGAAAACAGGAATAATGCTCTGAAGTTTCCTAGATGCTTTGGGAACGCTTAAGCAGTAGTATTTGTGTACCTAAGTTCTGTCTTAACTGATGGTCACAATGGAAAAGCTGAGTATCCTGCAACTTTATAGTATCTTCCTTGCCTCTGAAACATCTTTTTTCTGTTTGTGTCCTGTTCTCAAGAATTAAATTCATTCTCATCAGTCATGTGAACTTTGGATAAATACAGGGAATATCCATTCAAGATATCTGAAGATTAAACACAAAATAAATCACACATTTTCTCAAGGAAACCCCGCATCCCTGATAAATATCAGAAATGCAGACCTTGAGACTGCTAAACTTCAGTGGGGGACAGAGGCATATAATAGAATGTTTTCAAAGACTTTGTGCACATAACATTTATATTTCTCCTTTTTTTTTTTAAGATGGTAAGTAAAGAAAATTGCTAGTGATAGTTAGCAAATTTAATTTGTCTTAAAATGAAAAATAGTATCCTGCTGACAAAAATTGCATATGTTGTTCAGGACTGTGATCTATTTGGATATTTGAAAGCAAACATTCAGAGCAGATTAACTCTTACGAGGTGCTAGATAGAGACTATCATCAATTTACCGTATTTTCCTAATGGATATAATACTTCTGAAAGATTCTAGAGTCGTGATTTTGGAGGCTTACGTATTTTGGCCATTAAGATTATCGTACTGCAAGTTGATTTCAGTACAGTACTCATTCAGTATAGACTGCAAATTGAGGGACCATCAAGAGAGCTGTTAGATGTCTTTATTTGCCTGTTCTTTGATTTGCACGATGCAAATGAACCAATCTAGCTATCAAAATAGGTGCTTTTTATGATGTGAATACTTTTCATTTCCAAACTCTGTAAGTTCATTACTCTGCTAAACAGCTATCAAAGGGAAACGGTTAAGGATATGCTTACAGATTCTGGTATGACATTCTTCCAAACATGAAAACCAATCCAGCAAACGTAAAGGTTACAGTAAAATCAGCTAACAAATGTGTGCAGCCAGACCTCTCTTACTGCGAGTAGTTACTAACTGTGCTTGTGGTGGTGGGGAAAAATAGCATGAAGCTCATTGTGAGAAGTCTGATATCTCTGGGTTTTTTTTCTTTCTTTCTTTCTTTAACAGGACCAGAGAGCTACTTTTGAAGATCTAGAACATGTTGAGTAATTCATCAAAAGGAAAAGGCTCAGTATTACCGCATGTCAAAAGTATAGTAAAAACATCCCTTTATACAACTGATTTCATTTTTATTGCTTCAGTTAGGTTGCTAATACCAAAGGCAGTTTGGAAACACTCAGATAAAAAAAGTTCAATATTTTCTCTTGCGCCGTCACCTCCTCTGTTGGTCCCTCTTCTGCAGCTTTGGTGTCATCTACTATACAGTACAAGCACTTGATGTGAGAATGCCATAATTTGTAATTTGGATAATGTTTGGAGTACAAGTAACAATTGGGAGAAGTACTGATAACTTTTGATGTTGATGGCACTTAACCAGTGTCCTGCTGTCTGTGATGGCCTTTGCAATGTTTACCACTGGTGCACTCAGTGAAACACAAAGTCATGATTTGTGTTTGGATTATAACAATGCTTTAAAGCTTTGTCTGTTACTGAGAGAAGGCCTAGAAGAAAGACCTGGAGATATATTCAGAACAGAATCTCCTTACCTAACTGTGCTTGTCGCTGCTTTCGCCAGAACAGCTGGAATAGTTTTAATTGTAGTTCTTATAATTGTCATTGTAATGCTGCTGCTTCTTATGCAGAGAAGGAAAACATGCTGGTCATCTCAATAACTCAAACAGAAAGGGGGAAGGGGAACCATCATTATTCATGGACTGCAAATGAGTTTGCATCTTCTGCTACTGTTGATAATAACAGCCGTTGGAAGACACCCTGCTAACACTCTTTTACATTTATCAGCCATTGTTGTTTTGTCATTTGCAC